ATGTGGGGGCGGAGGGTCGGGCCGTGGGTGACCGAAATCCAAACACACTCTGCTAGAGCCGAGGCTAGAGCCCGCGCTGACTAGCGCGTCGGCTGTTCACAAACAGTTGGACATGCACGTCATAGGCCAGGTGTCTTAACTTGAAGTGACGGGCAGCTGCTGGGGGTGTTGAGGGAGACCATACCCTATGCGTGTGTGCCTGAGGCAACGCGGGGGGGGGGGGGGGAGTGGTGAGCAGCGTATAGGGCATCAGGACGCAGGGCGAGCGGGGTGCGCGGATAGGGAGGGAGAGGTAGGCGCTGAGGGGCTGCGACAGGGACGGAGTGGTACGTTGTGCGCGGCCGAGTAGCCAACGTCTCACTTCACACTTGGCCAGCCCCTATTAGGGCCCACGTCACACAGCCAGAAGCACGACCCTGCTCGGCCAGAGAACACCCCCCGACCAACCCCGCCACGCCCAGCCAGCCCGAGATAACAATGGGCCCACAGCAGCCAGCCATACCGCACGACTTCTAGTTGGGCTCCGCAGATTGCCGGGGCGGGCGCCTTCGCCTTCTAATCGCCGACTCCACATCACCGTATTTCGATTCCCGCGGTTGTTCGTGCGGTTTATTCCTGGAATCCCTGGAATCTTTCGAGACCGACAGTAATTACCACCGAGCCCTTTATTCTCCACCTTTTGCGGAGCCCGCATAGCCTTATTCACCTTACCGACCTCACCCGCCTCCTCCTAGCCCCAGCCCCGTTCCATGTTCCGCATGAGAAAAGTCCCGTCAATATGAGCTCTTCTTTGCCGGCTGTTGCACTTTGCAGTGCCCCTGCGCCAGTCGTATGAGTGATCCCCCCAGACGTTACGCTCTGCGCTCCGCTGGCCGCTGCTGTAAGGTCACTGGAAGCAGCTCACTGGAGCTCGCCGCCGAAGCTGGAGAGCGTCCAGCGACTCTATGGCGAACAAAACAATTAAAGTCCGACAAAACGCCGGGAGGAGGGAGGGGGGGGGGGCTAGCACCCGGGCCCAGCCGCGGCCCGGTACGGCCCAAGTTGGGGATCCAGCAGCCGGGTCCACCGCACCGC